TCGTACTGGAGGTACTGGAGCTGCTGGAGCTGGTGGTGCTACTGGTGCTGGAGGTGCTGGTGGTGCTGGCACTGCTGGTCCCGGAGGTGCTCGTACTGGAGGTGCTGGAGCTGCCGGAGCTGGTGGTGCTGTTGAAGCTGGAGGCACTGGAGCTGGAGGAGCTGGAGCTGGTGACCCGGGAGCTGGAGGTGCTAGAGCTGGAGGCGCTGGAGCTGGAGGCGCTGGAGCTGGAGGTTCTCGAGGTGCTGGAGGCCCTGGAGCTACTGGTACTAGTACTGGAGGTGCTAGTGCTGGAGGAGCTGGAGCTGGTGGTACTGCACAACGACGTCTGTTATTCGCTCCGCCGACACCATCGTCTCTGCCACCGCCTGACTCCATGCTTCGCCAGGTTCTTAGCCTCTCGACTTCTACTGGCCTCCCGTTACAGCCAGGCTCTTGATTGCCTGCTCCTTCTCCTTACACTGAGCACATAGACTCGCTTACAGAGCGTCGTGAGCCTGCGTCTCGTCCTGCCTCGCCTGTTCGCGCTGTTCGCACTGGCCGCTGTCGGAATCTGCCACCTTTCACCGCTCTCTTCTCCTCTCCTTGGCCGTCTTCTTTTAGCCTCTCTGCGGTCTAGCTCCATCCTCTCTGTCGTCCTGCCTGTCACATTCACTAGAAAGAATGTCTAGGACAGGCTCAACCCCCGTCAATCAGCTCGGCTGGCTGCTTGCACTGGCTCCTCTAGCTAGGGTTTGGGAAGATGCTTAGCTAATTGAGAAAACATACAAGCAAGCAGAGGCCGAATGGCCCTCTGCACCCCTTCTCTACAGTACCGTTGCGCCTTGACTGCACCTGCATTCGTTTTCCCGCCTCAGGGGCCGTTACACTTTTCTCGGCTCTTCCCGCCGTCCTCTTATGCTCACTACAAGCTATTCTACACTAATCTGTCACACAATTATATCAAGGTTCCTTATGCTATCTACATTCCATTGCCTTTATTAATTGTGTGACACCGCCGTGTTCCTCGTCCGCGTCCTCCTCCTGTCCCTGGCACTCACACTATGACACTTCGTCCTTCCTCTGTGCCCTAGCATGTCCCCTTGCCATCTCCTCCTGCGTCCTCTCTTCCGCACGTTCCGGACCTCCGTCTGACACTGTTCGTGCTGCCAGCCCTACTTTCACACGTCTCCTAGCCACTGTTGTCACTGACCCTTCGTTTGAGTCCACTGCTGCGTCTGCCCTAGTTGCTGAGCTTGTTGACTTGGCTGCTACTTGTCGTCTTGACTACGCCGCTAGTATTTTTGCTGAGTCTTAGTCTGACTGTCCTCCGTCCGTCGGGGGTGACTGTGCTCTTGGCACGGACGTCCTTGAGGACAGGCAGGAGGACTTTGAGCTGCTGCTGCTGTAAAACATCTCGTGGCCATTGTGCTAGCACCTGAGGGAGACCCTGATGCACTAGACATCCTGACCCCACGCTCTTACGCAGAGGCGATTTCGGGTCCCTACTCCTCTCAGTGGCAGACAGCCATGGACGCAGAGATGGCATTCTGGAAGTCCACAGGCACTTACGTCAATGCTGTTCCCCCTCTTGGGGCGAACATAGTCGATGGCATGTGGATTTTCAGGGTGAAGCGGCCGCCGGGCTCTCCGCCTGTCTTCAAGGCTCGTTACGTTGCACGAGGCTTCAGTCAGCGAGAGGGAGTTGACTTCTTCCAGACCTTCTCCCCTACCCCGAAGATGACCACTCTTCGGATGCTGCTGTACGTGACTACGAGCTTCAGTCGCTTGACTTCAGAAGAGCTTTCCTACAGGGCAGCCTGCACGAGGAGACCTGGCTGCGCCGCCCACCTAGCTTCACTGGGTCGTTTCTTGCAGGTACTCACTGGAGCCTCCGGCGGCCAGTCTAAGGTCTCCGCCAGGCGTCTTGTGAGTCGCACGACACAAAGAGGATGACACTTGCGGCTCTTGGGTTTGCTCCTTTGACTGCTGACTCCTCGCTGCTTCTGCGCACCGACACTTCGCTGCTGCCGTTCTACATCCTCGTGTACGTCAACGACTTGGTTTTTGCCACTACTGACACTGAGGCTCTCGCCCTGGTGAAGTCGGAGCTGCAGAAGAGACACACGTGCACAGACCTTGGTGAGCTGCGCAGCTATCTTGGCTTGCTTGCAAATCACTGGGACAGAGCACGCCGCACCATCACCCTGACTTAGTCACACATGGTGCAGCAGGTCCTTCAGTGCTTCGGCTTCCAGTTCTCCTCGCCATAGTCCACTCCTCTGCCTACCGGTCACTCGCTCGCTGCTCCACATTCGGACGAGTCCGTAGAGCCGAGTGGCCCGTATCCAGAGCTGCCTTATGTACCTGATGACATGCACTCGACCTGACCTTGCATAACCTCTTAGCATCCTTGCACGCTACGTGGCTCCCGGTAGACTCCGAAAGGTGCACTTGGATGCCGCAAAGAGGGTATTGCGTTACTTGTGCAGTACATCAGGCATGGGGCTCGTTTTTGGAGGACGAAGTTGAGTTCTTCTCACTGGACACTGAGACGCGTCTTGGGTTGACGACTTGGCTACGCAGCGGTCGTCACAGGGTTACACGTTCAGCCTTGGCTCCGTCTTTGTTTCTTGGCGGTCTACCTGCTCGTCTTCTGTTCTCAGCTCCAGTTGTGAGGTTGAGATCTACGCAGGAGCCATGGCTGCACAGGAGTTACGCTGGCTTAGCTGCCTGCTGACCGACTTAGGAGAGTGGCCTCGTTCTCCTCCAGTTCTGTACGTAGACAACAAGGTCGCTATTGCCTTGTGTCAGAAGCACGGACTAGAGCACAGGACAAAGCACATCGCTCTCCGTTACTTCCTGGCTCGAGAGTTGCAGCAGCGTGGTCAGCTTCGTCTTGCTTACGTGGCCACTCGAGCCAAACACTGCTGATATATTCACCAAGGCACTTCCGCCTGGTGATCATCAGCGTTTCTGTACTGCTTTAGGCCTTGTGCCTGCTTCGTCTCACTTGCTCACTGCGTGATTTTCCTTGTACTGCAATCTATCTGTATGCTTGCATGCTTACTCTTGCTAGGTAGTGATCACTGTACTGTTTGCTCTTTTTTTTTTCTTATGCTCAGAATGTGTGGTCACTTCATGATCCACCCTGAGCTTGCTTTGCCTTTCTTGACTGGTCTTGTGACCTCTTGTTCTCCCCCACTTTGCCTATGCGGGTGTGTCAAAATGCTATGCTGCTTATACTGTGTAGGTTGTAGTGGGGTAGCCCATAAGGGGTACAACCCAATTAGGGCTGGTACTTGTTCCCACCTTGATAATAGTGCACACATCCTCTGCTTGCTAGTTTTGACACTACCTACTCGTTTTCTGTTCTCAGCTTCCGTTGTGAGGCTGACCAGGAGGTCATGGCTACACAGGAGTTGCGTTGGCTGACCTACCTCCTTTCCGACATTGGAGAGTGGCCTCATTCTTCTCTAGTTCTGTACGTTGACAACAAGGCCATGATTGCCTTGTGTCAGGAGCACAGACTGGAGCACAGAATGAAGCACATTGCTCTTCGTTGCTTTCTTGCTCGAGAGCTGCAGCAGCATGGTCTTCTGCACCTTGCTTACGTGACCCTGGGGGCAAAACTGCTGATGTCTTCACCAAGGCTCTTCGGTCTGGTGGTTGTCAGCGTTTCTACACTGCTCTAGGCCTTGTGCCTACTCTGCCTCACCTGCTGGTTGCTTGACTTGTCTTGTACTATGATTTTTATATATACCAGCATGCTTGCTCTTGCTAGGTTGTGATCATTAAACTGCTTATGTCTTTGACTCTGCATGTGAACTGGCCTGGTGGCCGCTTGCTTCTGCTCAGACAGCGTGGTGATCTTTATATCCACCCCAGGCTTTGTTTTGCTTTTTTCTCTTGCTTGACTGGTGTTGTGACCATTGGTTGTGTCTGCTACCCTCCACTTTGCCTATTCGGGTGTGTCAAATTGCATTTGTTATCTCTTGGCTGCAGTGGGGCATACACTAAGGAGTACAGCACTTTAAGTCATTCCTAGTACTTGTACTCATTCTTCCCACTCGTCCATCATTCCCACGTTCTATTTCTGATAGTTAGCCGCTGGCGCTGTCATTCGCGCTAACGCAGGCATTGGGGCTGGTGCTGGCTGACGTGCGGGCCGCATGGCGACGAAACGGTGCGGGGCGACGCGGGGCTGCGGGTCGACGAAGCGACGCGAGGGGTCGACGAAGCGGCGCGGGGCGACGCGGGGGCGGAACTGTCAAACATTGTATGTTTAAGTTGTGTAGGCTGTAGTGGGTTTCACCTTAGGGGGTACACAAAATTATGGTTTCCTACTTGTACACAACTTTCTGCTAGTTGATTCATTCCTGATTCATTCATTCTGACATGGTTTCAGAGCAGGTCCTTCACTAGGACCTATTTTTTTAGGGCCCACCACTACTGACTGCCTACTAGCGCCTTCGTGCGCCCTACTGTCGGAGCGCTCCCTAGCGTCTTCCCCCCAGCGCCCTCATGCGCCTTTCTTTAACGGCCCCTTAAGGCCCCGTCGACCCCGCGCGCCGCCCCTTAGCGACCCTCGCGCCGCCCCTTAGAGGCCCCGTCGACCCCGCGCGCCGCCCCTTAGAGGCCCCGCTGGCCCCGTCGACCCCGCGCGCGCCCCGCTTACAGGCCTCGTCAGCCCGTCAACCCCGCGCGCGCCCCGCTTAGAGGCCCCGTTTGGCCCCGTCGACCCCGCGTGCACCCCACCCAGAGGCCCCGCTGGCCCCGTCGACCCCACATGCGCCCCGCCTAGAGGCCCCGCTGGCCCCGTCGACCCCGCGCACCTCCCTTAGCGGTCCCGTCGGCCCCGTCGACCCCGCGCACACCCACACCTCGTCGGCCCCGTCGACCCCACCCGCCGCCCCTTACCGCCCCGCACGCGACAGCCACGGCCCCGCCAGAACCAGGCCGCCCGAACCGAGCCACGCAGCCCGAACCGAGCCGCACCGCCCTAACCGAGCCGCGCCGCCCTACCTGAACCGAGCCGCGCCGCCCGTACTGAACAGCCTCTCTGGATCGAGCCGCCCTACCTGAGTCGCGCTGCCTACTGCTGTTAGGGTGCACCTCCTCCTCCTACTACTACTACTACTACTACTACTACTACTACTACTACTACTACTACTACTACTACTACTACTACTACTACTACTACTACTACTACTACTACTACTACTACTACTACTACTACTACTACTACTACTACTACTATTACTACTACTACTACTACTACTACTACTATTACTACTACTACTACTACTACTACTGCTCCTACTGCTACTATGGCTAGCCCTCCTGTGCTAGCTTTCGATGCTGAGGGCCGCCCAGTGAAGTTTGACACCTGGCTAGATGACCTGCACCTCTTCCTACAGCTCACTGCCAAGGAGGACATCTCACTGTACGATCACGCCCTAGGCCATGCTACTGCCCCTGCTGCTTTTGCTGACAGCACTGCCCGCTCACAGTGGCAGACTCGTGACGCCCACGCTCGCTTTGCTATTCGCAACTCCCTGCCGATAGATGAGCGCGAGCACTTTGGCCAACACAAGACTGCACAGGCACTGTACACTGCTGTCGTTGCCCGCTACTCCTCACCTGCCTCTGCCGCACTAGGCCGTCTCTCACTCCCCTACCTGTTCCCCGACCTGGCCTCTTTTCACACAGTTGCTGACCTCATCACGCACCTCCGTACTAGTGAGGCCCGCTTCCGTGCCGCTATGCCCGATGAGTTCCTTGCCACGAACCCCCCCCGCTCTGGCTCACTCTCTACCACCTAGTCACCCGCCTCCCTGACTCTCTGCGTGCAGTCAAAGATCACTTCCTAGCTCGCTACCCCACTGAGCTCACCATTGCCCTCCTCGAGAAGGAACTCCTTGCAGCTGAGGCTAGCAAGTCGCTGTAGGTGCCTCTCGTGGCGACCCCCGCACCCCCTTCTTTGAGGGGTGTTCCCCTTCCCCCCTTCTTCCCTCTGTAGCCTCTGCTTCTGCTGTCGACCTCCTTGGTGCTGAGAAGGTCGGGACTGCGTCCGCTTCGAGCTGGCGCCGCAGGGGCAAAGGGGGCAAGGGAGGAGGAGGTGACGGCGGGGGAGGCGGTGGTGGAGGCGGTGGCGGCGGTGGGGGTGGTGGTGGGGCTGGAGGGACTAGTGGCAGCAGTGGGGGTGGTGGCGGCAGCGGCGGGGGAGGTGGCAGGGGCGGGGGCGGTGGTGGGGGCGGCGGTGGTCGCGGCGGCGGCAGGGGAGGGGGTGGTCGAGGAGGTGGCGGCGGCGGTGGTGGTCGTGGAGGCGCTGGCAGTGGCCAGAGCCAGCAGCACACACCGTCACCCAAGGAGGCCCGTGAGTGGTACTCTCAGCACGGGGGGGGGGGGGGGGGGTGGACTTAGCTGCACGTACGTCATCCGCACTGGTGACCGCACTGGTCAGACGTGTAAGAGGGCGCACACCACGCAGCGCTGCTTCTCTCGCCTCGACGACGCCTGGCGTACTCCGTTCCCTGATGCCACTGAGCTGCCCCGCTGGTTTGATCTGATGAAGAAGGGAGTTGATATCTATGCTCTAGACTTTGATGCTATTCTCACTGCCATGTATGTGATGTCTACTAGTGGAGAGGGTGCTCAGTACCTGTGTGTTCCGCCCGACCCGGGCATTCGGACCAGTGAGGCTGCCGCTCTAGGTGCTAGTGAGACTGCCACTCCAGGTACTCGCGTATCTCCTACCCCAGGTGCTGGTGAGGCTTCTGCTCTAGGTGCTCGTGAGTCTGTGCCCCCTGGTACTGAGTCGACTGAGGCACTGCACACCTTCACACTGGACTCAGGTGCTTCTCGCTGTTTCTTTCGTGACCGCACTGTCCTTGAGCCGCTGGCTCGGCCAGTTGCTGTCTCCCTCGCTGACCCCTCTGGGGGTCCGGTCATTGCGACCTCCTCCACTGTCCTTCCCTGTCCTGCGGTCCCGTCGGGCACACTGTCCGGTCTCCACCTCCCCTCGTTCTCTACGAACTTGGTGGCGGGTAGTGCGCTCCAGGACGGGGGTGTTCACCAGTTCACCCCTGCCTACGAGCGTGTGACACACTGCACGTGTGCTCGGACGGGCCGTCACCTGGCTACCTTCACTCGGCAGCCGGGGTCGGACCTGTACACACTGACCACTGAGTCCCCTCAGGTAGCTGCGTCTGCGTCTGCGTCTGCGTCAGGTCAGCTGTCGGCCCCCTGCTCGTGTCGCTCTCTGGCGCACGAGACCGTCCTTTGGCACCACCGACTTGGTCACCCGTCCGTGCAGCGCCTTCATGCAATGCACAAGCGGTACCTTGTCTCTGGTCTTCCCAGAGTTCTCCCTCCCCTCCCACCCTCGCCTGCTCCTCCCTGTCTTCCCTGTGTTGAGGGGCGGCAGCGCGCCGCTCCTCACTCCTCCTCGTTTCCCCCGACGATTGCTCCCCTGCAGACGCTCCACATGGACGTGTGGGGCCCAGCCCGCGTCCGGGGACAGGGTCAGGAGAGGTACTTCCTGATCGTTGTTGACGACTACTCGCGCTACACCACGGTCTTCCCCTTGCGCACCAAGGGTGAGGTCCCTGATGTCTTGATCCCTTGGATCCGCGCTTCTCGTCTCCAGCTCAGCGAGCGTTTCCACTCGGACTTTCCTGTCCTGCGTTTGCACTCTGACAGAGGTGGTGAGTTCTCCTCTGACCTCTTGGCAGCCTACTGTGCGGAGCACGGCATTGAGCAGACGTTCACGCTTCCGGCCTCTCCATAGCAGAATGGGGTTGCTGAGCGCCGCATTGGCTTGGTCATGGAGGTCGCTCGTACCTCCTTGATCCATGCGGCTGCCCCCCACTTTCTGTGGCCGTTTGCGGTCCGATACGCTGCGCATCAGCTCAACCTCTGGCCCCGTGTCTCCTTGCCGGAGACTTCCCCGACACTGCGTTGGACGGGAGAGGTTGGCGATGCGTCGCGTTTTCGGGTCTGGGGATCTCGAGCTTTTGTTCGCGATACGTCCGCGGACAAGCTCTCCTCCCACGTTGTTCCTTGTGTCTTCCTTGGCTTTGTCCCGGACGCGTCTGGTTGGCAGTTTTACCACGCCACCTCGCGCCGTGTCCTGCCCTCTCAGGACGTCACTTTTGACGAGTCCGTCCCCTACTACCGCCTCTTCCCCTACCGCACTGCCCCGCTCCCCCCCCCTGTTGGAGTAGGCTAGCGTTCGCTCTTCAGTTTATTTTGGCCTTATATTATTTTCCGGCCACTTTTAGACTTAGTTTCATTTCTGGTTCATCTTAGGTTCACTTTGCAGTTTGTATCTGCATTGAACACGCCTTAGGTCTAGTTGGGGTTTCCTAACCCTAGCTTTCAAATGTCTCTCGACTCTCTTCTAGTATCGATATTTTCCTCTCCCACTTAACTTCCTAGCCATGGCTGCCATAAACCTACTATTAACATGGTATTCAGAGCGAAATCCTAGGCGTTTCCTCATCATCTACATCTCTTAGAACCTTTCATGCCCCTAAGCTTATTTCGCGCTACCCCTTAGTAAGTCGATTTTAGCTCTTTTTTTCTTTCTTTACATCTTTTTTTTTTCTCCCCAAATCGCGGATCCGCCCTCCGTCGTAGCGTGCGACTTGCCACTCGTCGCGCGCCCTCCCTCTCTCGTCCCTTTTGTCGCGCGCGGCCCGCATTGCTGTCGCGCGCCCTCCCTCCCGTTTCCGCCCGCCCCTCGTCCCTCCCCCGCGCGTCCCTCCGCTCCCCTCGTCGAGCGCGGGGTGCGCGCCTCCTCCCCCCCCCCAATGCGCGCCTTTCCGAGTTCTCCGGTTAGCCATCACCACTCCCCTCTACGAAAATTCGTTCCTTCACTTCCCTCCGCCTCATCTCTCTCCCTTCATTCCCCCTACCACATTCCCATTTCCTCCGCCTCCTATCTCACCTCAGCTGCAGCAGCTGGCTGCAGATTTCGCCTGGCGGCAGTGCCCCTCTCCACTCCTCTCCTCTCTATCAAGACCCTTCTCCATCCACTCCGCCCCTTCACCCTCCTCATCCTCTCCCCGCCTCTCTTCCTCGCACCAGGTGCTGCTGTGGTAGACCCCCTCCCCCCTCAGGGTGCCGCTCCCTCAGGTGTGTCCCAGGTAGACCCGGTTGAGCCTGTCGAGGTAGCTGTCGACTCTCGTCCTGCTAGGGGTGCTGAGTCTGAGCGTGCGGAGCCTGGGGGTGCGGAGCCTAGGGGTGCTGAGCCTGGGGTTGCGGAGTCTGGGGGTGCTGAGCCTGGAGGTGCTGAGCCTGGAGGTGCGGAGTCTGGGGGTGCTGAGTCTGGGGGTACTGAGTCTGGGGGTGCTGAGTCTGGAGGTGCTGAGCCTGGGAGTGCTACACCTGGAGGAGCCCTCTCCTCACAGCAGCTGCAGGAGAGGTACTTACAGTACTGCAGCCTCAGGAGAGGTGCTTCTGGAGCCAGGAGTGCTGCTGGAGCTGGTACTAGTGCCCCCCCTCCTGAGCGGGAGCTGCCCTCCCTTCAGCGGATCCGAGAGTGGTACACGCGGCGCTGCAGTCTTCGGAGTGGAGCTCCTGGTGCTGCGGACCCTGGAGTTGGAGCTACTGCTGGTGCTGAGGACCCGGACGGTGGAGCTACTGCTGGTGCTGAGGACCCGAGCGGTGGAGCTGCTGCTGGTACTGAGGACCCGGGCGGTGGAGCTGCTGCTGGTGCTGAGGACCCGAGCGGTGGAGCTGCTGCTGGTGCTGAGGACCCGGGCGTTGGAGCTGCTGCTGGTGCTGAGGACCCTGGCGTTGGAGCTGCTGCTGGTGCTGCGGACCCGGACGGTGGAGCTGCTGCTGGTGCTCCGGACCCGGGAGTTGGAGCTGCTGCTGGTGCTGAGGACCCTGGCGCTGGTGTCTCTGCTGGTTCTGGAGACGCTGCGCGGCCGCGACCGTACTTCGTGCCGCTCCTTCAGCAGGTTCTTGGTCAGAATCCCCCTCCTTGTCCTCCTCCCTCCTTAGAGTGTCCTCCGCCTGTCCAGTCGCAGTCACAGTTACCGCCTGCCTCGCCTCTCCCTGGTCCTTCTCCTTACACTGGTCCTACAGGTGGTCTTACGGAGCGTCGTGAGCCTGAGTCTCGTCCTGTGTCGCCTGCGTCTCGCTCTGCGTCGCCTGTTCGTGCTGCTCGCACTGGTCGTCGTGTCCCGCGTGAGCGCCTGTCCTCGTCCTGTCCCTGGCACTCACTACATGACTCTACGTCCCTCCACTGCTCCTCAGCGTGTCCCTCTGTCGTCTCCTCCTGCGTCCTCTCTTCCTACTCTTTCTGACCCGGAGTCTGACTCCATTCGTGCTGCCCGTCCTACTGTCACGCGTCTCCTTGCCACTGTTGTCACTGACCCTACCTTTGAGTCCTCTGCTTGTCAGAATCAACAGACTGGAATGACTGTACTAGCACAAAGTTGGATACAAGTAGGAAACCCTAATCTAGTGTACCCCCTAAGGTGTAACCCACTACAGCCTACAATCATATAAACATATAATGTTTGACACTCCCCCATAGGCGCAGTGGGAGACAACCACAGGGTCACGAGACCAGTCAAAGCAAAGGAAGGCAAGCTCAGGGTGGATCTCAAGGATTCCACACAAATTCCGAGCACAAGCAAGCGGTCACAAGACCAGTCCACATGCAGGTTTATAATAGAGCAAGAGATACATTGATCACAACCTAGCAAG